TCGGCGGGGCCAACGGTTGGAGCCAACTTCTTGTCGCTCGCCTTGGCCGAATCGCTTCGCGCTCTTGTTCCTCGGCGCGCGTCAGGAAGATGAAGTCCCCACCAGACTTTGCTATTTGGGGGGGGGGGGGGGACCCCCTTTTGCGCCGGCCCCTCAATCCCGACTCCGGCTTGATATTATTGCCGTTGGACGATCATCATTTGCAGGTATCACTCTCATCACGTCAGGCTTCGGAGCATTTTTCGGTCTTGTCTTCAAGCGTTTCTCTCCCCCTTGAAGCAACACCTGGCTTGGTCTCTAATGTCAGCAGTGCTACGGCGTTGACTTGGATCTCTTGGTTCCCTGCACGTCATCTAGCTCTGCACTGTCCTGTTCGCATATGTAGGTTTTTATTATCAATGGCCCACCTAATTTGGAACGTGCAAGTCCTTGCCCCACCCGAGGATCGACAGGGAATAACAAAGGTCTTTTAAGACAGAGGACAATATGTATGAGTCGCCGTAATTGGGAATCTGTGATGGACTTGGCAATCTCTTCTTGGACGGGGCCACAAGTCCACATATTAACGTCAGACGCGAGACTGTTTGCTATTCTGCAGAAGCGCTGCGGCTGAGTCAACCGTGAATTGAAGCAAACCAGATCGATTCACTGAGAACTATACTTGACTCCCCATCTTAACGGTCCAGTAAGCTACTTTAGTAGTGCCTACGAAGGTATCTACTCAAGTAGCGATGAGTCGGCGATGACTGTAATCTCCGGATTCGGTCCGATGTCTTTGCTCCTTTAATACGTACTAATACCTCGTATACAGTTATTAATATGTCCAGTGCGGGATAGCAGTCGATACTATTTCCTCCCACCCCACGATTTAGGATATCAACCCAATGCCATGACCAGGAAGAAGGGGGAGACTGTGCCGGGCTCTGGGGAATATCAGCGGAAACATGATCGACCCCTGTTGAGGAGACAATAGAGGGGGCGGGTTCTGGCCCTCGGCGTTCACGGTCCTCTCCGGCCTTGTTTTGTGTGGTCCGATTTTTGAAGTCTGGCCCCCAAAATGGACGACCTGAGGATTATTTCTTGCAGTAAGCGTGTTAGTCTGACTACAAGGGCCCAACAGAATGCTTGTAGTCATTTATGGATGTATACGTACATACGGTGGTAGATGAGAGACCCCTTTTCACAGGGCTTGTGGTAAGAACAGTACTATTAGTAGTATCCCTGCCTGAGACCATCGCCCCGTCCACCTTGGGCGTTTATAGCAAACTATCTCCTTTAATGGGTCTGGTCAAAGGTCCCGAGTGGATATCGTTGATATCTTGTGATCTTCGATAATGATAACCATGCCTTGAAAAGCGAATATAGATCCACGATCCACGGATCCGGTATATCAAGGCCATGCATGGCTCACGAGTCCCCGGGGTTATGCAGGTATATGTCCAGAATGAAGATCACAAGGCAAAACCAATAGTAGACGATAGGAATATGTGAGATGCATGATCATCCCTTGAAACAGTCCATCTCTAACACTTAGACACCTCCACTTAGAATCGTCAGGCCGAGCGCAGGTGGCGGACCTCTGGGGCTGCACTGCACTGCACAGCACTAAGGTAGTTCGCCACGAGCGGATCGGATAAATCTGGGGAGAAGTAGGGTCACCAAGATGAAGTGAAGGGAAAGGGGGGATTTTATCAGATGAAATAAAACCAAACATCAGTACTCTATTAAGCAGAGCCTCGAGGGCGTGTAAAAACAAAAAATAAAAATAGTAGCGATTCGGGTGGCGGGAGGTCGACCGGGCGGGTACCGTAATACTAGTAATATTAAGGAGAGACGCCGCCTGACTTTGTGACTGTGACGCCTCCTCCGCTTTCGAAGGCTTTTCATTCCCCTCTCCATCGCCATCGTCTTCACCACCATTGCCCTTGGTTCCTTTCGTCTGATTCCCATCGCTATTGGGAAGACTGTACTCTCCTTTATCCACTAGATTCACATCTTCCCCTCCCTGTCAATCACTTGACAGTCCTCGCCATCTCCACCCCCTCCCCGGCGCTTCGCTTGTCCTCCCCTTCACCTCGTGGAGGCATTACCAACCACCCTCCCCTCACGCCCTAGGTTCCCATCGAACATCATCAGCAGGAACTCCTCTGTCTTCCGGATGCCTCTGAATTAAACACTTGGACTTTCGCGACCTCCCATTCCATCTCGTCGCTGTGGGCGCTATCCCCGCCAGGTTAGGGGTCACAGAAATCCCACCACATCGGCCAAATCGTCAAGGTCCTCGCCATCAGGGCTTTTCAACTTTCTCTTCGACTTTCTGGATGACATTCCATCTATTACGATCCTATATTTTTTAGTGCTACGATCGCCCCGATCGCTCTCGCCCATTCATCATGCGGGAAGTCAACTTCAGCATCCCCAATGTGAACAAGGCTTCGGTCAACATCACAACCACCCTCTACGATCGAAGAGCCCTTGATTGCACATCCACCCTACCGTTAATCAACTCCCTTAATCATCTCGCATACCTCACAACCTCATCGGCTCGGATTCGGGATATCCTCACCGTCGATGGCGGTATCGAACGGCTCGTGTGCATCCTGAAGGAGGGCAGGAGCAAGGATTTGATGGAGATGTGGAAATGGAGTCTCGCTTTCCAGTGTGTCGTCAACATTGGAGTACGGGGCTCGGAGAGCGTGCGAACCAGAGTCGTTGAAGCCGATATGGTTCCCGTCATCGCCACCATCCTGGATAATTACATCAAGGTAGTGGACAAGGTCCGGTCCCGTGCCGATCCTGAACCTCACAAGCACTCGTCGAGCCGTCACTCAGGCAAGCCCAGTGCCTCTACCCGCGAGGTCGCTGGACGACCTGCCACTTTGGATGAAACTCCCAACGCCGACTCCCGCCCGTCTTCTCGCCGCCAAGCGCCTCCTCCCAGCATCGAAATTCCCCAACCCTACTATCAAGAGAACCAACCGACCGACTCTGATGCAATGGATGTCACCTCTCCTCCCCGCGCCCCTATGACCTCGCCCCCAGAACAAAACACACTCAGACCGGACGCTCACAACCACCGGGTTCACGATGCTCGATTTTCACGGACAAATCATCGCCTGCGAGCCATGCAGCCTCTTGCCACCGCCGTTCCTTCGATCGATACCCCTGAAGGGTTCGGTCTTCGGCCGGTGCGCGATGCGGAGCGTCTTCCTAGCATGCCTCCGGGGCTACAAACCGGCATTATCTCGCAACCCGACTCCCCAACAACCCCGAGCGGACCAATTCAGTCTCAATCCCGAAGTGTCCCCCAAGCTGCCCCTCCCATTCCACGCCCTGCCATCCGCCAACAACTTTCTCAGTCGGGTGAATCGGACGATGCCAATGGAGAGGACTCGACGATGGGCGATGACAATGTCCTAGAGGACAGAATCCTGAGCCTATTGTTGGTCTGCCGAATCGGATGGAGATTGATAGTGTTGATGAGCAAGCCACCACAATGATTGATGACGTCTCCGCCGCACATGATCTGACTGTGACTGACCCCACGGCGGAAGGCCAAGAGGCTGAGACGTTCAACATCGCGCATCGTTCCACTGTTGATGGCAGCATCATCAACAACAATGGAAACACTCAAAACACTGGTGGTCTTGGCCTTTCCCCCGCCCAGGCTACTAACAACCCAAACTCTCCTACCCTCGCACCCAGTCCCTATGCTATGTATCTCCGTGATCGCAGCACGCCCGCCACCCAAGGAGTCTTGACGACTATGCCTCGGGATGAGGACGTGTTGATGTCATTGCAGCTCCTGGCTTATGTATCTAAGTACTGCAACCTTCGCTCCTACTTCCAACGCTCCCATCTCGTGCCAAAGCTCAAGATTGATCGGGAATTGCATCTGCTAGATGAGAACGCCGATCCTTCTACGCCAGTCGATATGTCGGAGGACGAGGATGAGTATCTGCTGCCCGATGATGTCAACATCTTCCCACTGGTTGAGAAGTTTACTGTTCGACACCACTCCAAGGACATGCAATACTGGGCTTGCGTGGTGATGAGAAACCTCTGTCGCAAGGACGAGTCGCGTGGTGGAATCCGTCAGTGTGCTTACTACAAGTGTGGCAAGTGGGAGGAGTTCCAGCGCCAGTTTGCCAAATGCCGCCGCTGCCGCCGCACCAAGTACTGCAGCAAAGACTGCCAAAAGGCAGCATGGGTGTATCACCGTCACTGGTGCCACACGTCCCCTTGATACGACCCAACGACCTCGAAGGAGTTCCTTTTCTGATTTCCATGCATACTGGCTCGCATAGCGTCATATCCCTCACGCATCTCCCCGCTTCCCACACTTCATTTCAAGGTCTTATGTCCCTCGCTCGCACTCGCACACATGGCATTGCAAATTTGGCGGCGTCCCATTCAACCCCCGAAGATACCTTTTACATGTCGTCTTGACTTTTATTTTATTCCCAATATTCTTGATTTTTACCCGCACAGCTCCCTCTTCCATGGTTGTCTTTTACTGATGCCTGGTCCTTCATCCTGGGGCCTTTTCTCTTTTCACATATCCCACCAGCCGTCATGAGTGTATATCTTTTTTTCATCCCAATATTCCATCATATTGGGCCACGTTTCACCGATTCTGTCTCTTTTTTGACTTCTGTCAGCTTGTCTCACATACCTTAATTGTGTTATCACGAGTTTCCTATGTCCGTAGATGGACAAACATCATCGACACGCCCGACCACCGCACGGCGGTCCCTTGAAGCATTGATTCTCCTTTTATTCTCCTCTTACTTACTGCACTCCCATCTATCATGTTACCTATGCTTGGAGGATTCGTCTTTGTGTCTCTGCACTTTGCCATCCCGGCACCGGCGTTCTTCTACACTCATTGGCCCGTCGTTTCTCTCAATGAATGAACCATCTGCATCTGCATTTACAATTTCTCTTCCCACTAGTAAACCGCAATCTGGATTCCGCTATCTGTACGAGAAATCTACCTCTTACTCCTTCGTAAATCCATACGTAGCCGCCAGTCTCGACTCCAAGTGCTCCGCCGCAGTCAAAGGCCTCTTCCCAGGCTCCAAAGTCCCCGCACCACCACCAAAGCCCACAACACCCACACCTCCAGCCTTAGCCCGATGCCCCTTAACAACCTCACTAGGCACAGGAACAAGCTCAGTCGCATCAACAGGATGACAGAAATAAACAAGCGTATACCGATCCTGCGGGTTCGGACTCCGCTGCTCCGCCAACGGGAACACAACCCGGTGCACGGTAGACTTGAGCAATCCATCCGTCCAGTAGCTAAGTAGATCTCCGATATTCACCAGGATAGGCGGGAAAGGGAATGCGGAGGCATCATTACCCGGGACGATGGGCACAGGCGCCCAGGTCCCCTCCCGGCGTGAGAATTTCCAGGCCCGGCTGCCCGGGTTTTTGGAAGAGGAGCGTGATACTGCCGTAGTCGGAGTGTGCGCCAGCGCGGACGTCCTTGTCGTGCTTATAAGAGGCTGTTGCTGGGGAGAAGATTGAGGGGTAGTATAGGTAGCGTAGGATACTTCCTGTTGGTCCGCTGCTTGGGTCGTGGCGGGTTGTGAAGAAGTCTTGGGGCATCTGGGGAGTTTGATGGGTTAGTTTGATACTCTCAGCCCAAGCCCAAACTCAAGCCCATGTGCAAACTTGGTCTTGTAGGTAGGCGATGACGATGACGGGATGAACAAACCTCGAGGCCCAGTGCGAGCAGGTTAAGGATTCGATTGCAGGTCTTATTGCAAAGGATAGCGAAGTCGCTAATTTCGGACTCGTGTGGTGCCAGGACTGGTGGGATAGGTTGTTGGGCTTTGCCGGCTTGGAAGTCACCGAAATTCATGGCTCTGTTTTGAGTATTCCTGTTAGTTGTATCTAGGGTGGGTATAAGGGTTAAGTGAGATCATACTCCTTGAAGTCACCAGTCTATGAGATATGATATACGGTTAATATATTGACACAATATAGCAGCGTAAAAGAGGTGGGTGTAAACTTACGCGCTGGTGCTCGGGGTCGAGGGTTTCTGTGTGCATGCCTGACCAGCCACGGTTCTAGTTTATTTCGTCAATTAGGTGTTTGATAACTCAACTTAAATGGACCTACTACTTACATTAGGTGTGATACGGCATGTCTCCTTCTCCGCGGCGGGGGATGCAAAGAACTTCTTTGACTGGATGGAGATCAGCTTCAAATCCTATAGAGATACTCGGTAATACATTATCCATTCATACCAGACCAAAGGCATGCTCCACGTCTTTAGGGGTAAAATCAGAGCCCTTGCTGTTCACATAGAGAAATCCATACTTGGCGGCGGCGTCGAGCATCGCCTTCCCCACGGCGGGGTCATGGGGATCGGAGATGTCAATGACCGGGAGTTCAATCGGTGCGGCAACGTCGGAGTCAGCCATAATGAAGGGATCAGAGAAGTCCTGGAGGGGTTGGTTAATAGAAGTGGGACTATCCGACTATCATATAGCTCTTGGTGCTAAGCTGCGCTAGGACGATATGGGTGGGAAGCAATCTCGGCCGACCTATTGCGGATCTGGCATATCTAAGAGCCGAGGATTGGGTCCCACGGTTTCCACAGGCGATATCCGACGTGCAGAACCCCGCGATTATCAGGAATCGGGAGATGCTGTGCTCCGAACTTCCGAGCTTGAAGGTAAATCTTGAATCTAGCACTAGTAGCTGGAAGTGCCGAGACATATATTGGCTGGGTTTCTGCAAAATTCGTGGGTGGATAACTAGTACCCAAGTAGATAGAGGTATATGCTACTTAGTACCAGTCCCAGTATCATTCGCAAGCCCTAGAAATTGATACTAGTACTATCAATAGTAATACCGAGTACTAATAGTGTGCTGATATCTTCCTAACTAGTATATTAAAGACATGGATAGTACTAGTAGACTCTTAAGCATCAGAAACACCGTGACCTGAGCAACTAGACGAAGGATATTAATAACTCCAGTTTTAGCTATAGGACCACTTCATACCTAGGTACTAATTTTCAAGAAACTCAATTTATGTCTAGGATACCAATGGAACTTGAAGTTGAAAGTATTCGAGTAGCTTGCTTTCAGTAAGGGTCAAGTTGATAGATTAGATCTTCCGTACCCAGTAAGCACTGGTGCTATTAGTTCTGGGATACTACGCCCTCTCAAAATCTACTAGTATGACGGCAAAAAGGGTAGAACTCTAATATGAGCTAAGTCATACATTAACTGCATTTTGTGTTATATATATTGAAGTTTCTAAAGGGATGTTTATTTGGTGAACTGTGGCATCTCAGTAGTACTAGTCTCACCTTGCGCCCTTAGTAGAACACAAATCGAAAATACTTGAATTAAATAATAGTCCTATTATTAAAGCTAACTTAAATAGTCTTCAATTGTTAATTGTCTTACGAGGGAAGGGGTGTTTTTCAAAAAAGTAAAAAAAAAAAGAGCAAAACACTGGACCAGGCGCCAACTCCGCTTTCCCCCTCGACGTTTCGCAACATCGCGATCCTCAGCTCCCGCGATCCTCCTCCCCTCCCCCCCCACCACTTCCCTGGGCATTATCATCGTCACCCTCTCCCCAGCTCTCTATCTGGGTCTCAATGCTCGGTAGCTAGCTGTGCTTCTTGCCTCTCAGCTCCGCAACTATGCCAAGTAAGTCCTTCACACCCTCACAGCCCTTGAGCGGATCCCTAACCAGTCATTTCGTCCTAGTCCGTCCCTTCGATGATTGGGTCGTAGGCCGCACTCAGTCCCTCCCCTTCTCGGCCCTCAAAGGTGCTGTCGTCGGTATCGATGCGTCGCATTTTATTGAGCAACATCTGATCAACGTTTCGACCCGCGAGGCCTTGTTGGGCGCACTGGGTGGTTTCCCGTTTGCCTTGAGAAGCAACATCGAGAAGGAGCTCCAGACCTTCAAGAATCTCGGCGTCGGATGTATTTTCGTGTTCAATGGCCTGGAATTTGGGAAGAAGGATAACCACACAGCCCCCCCAGTCCGCATCCCGCTCCTACGCTCAAGCTTGGGAGCTCTACGACCAGCAACAGGCCGATCGAGTCGTTGACGCCTTCAGCAATGCCGGTATGATGACCACCCTTTTACTTGAACCAGCCAGCCCATGGACGAACCTTCCACCGGCGATGCTTCCCTACCACTTTTGGTCCCAGCAGGCGATGATACCAGGCACTGACTATGACTATCGCGAACCAGGGACCCCTCCACCGGAAACCCTCTACAAGTTCCTGCAGCGGATCTTGAACCAGAATGGTGTCTCTTTTATGGTGGCTCCCTACAGTGCTGCTGCCCAGGTAGGCCGGACACACGAGATTTGTGGTTTCTTGACCCAAGAGAGATTCATTCCACTAACCAGCTGGACTAACATAGCTCTCTTACCTTGCTCGTGGCGCCAATCCTGTCGTCGATGCAGTGTACGGACCATCCGAAGCCCTTTTGTTTGATCTAGAAAAGCTAGTGACCCGAATCGAAACGGAACCCGCACAATTCACTTGGATCACGAAGCAGAATGCCCAGGAGGAACTCGGGCGCCTGACTAACGAGCAATTCCTCGATTTCTGTCTGCTCCTGGGCTCTCCATTCCTGCGAGCTTGTCCTCTCTTTGAAAGTCCCGCCTTCCCCGGCAAAATTCCTACCGTGCGTGATGCTTTGCCTATGTTCAACGCCACTGGGCGAAGTGCCCTGACGCTTTGCGCCCAATACGAGGAAGATCGCCGCATGCAGGAACTTCAATACACAGACCGGTACAAGCGAGCATACATGATTGTGAAACACCACGTTTATATGGACATTGATGGCCGCGTTGGCCCTATGGAGCAAGAAACGACTTCTTCGGATATGCACGAGCTCATCGGACAACGACTTCCCGAGGAGCTATACTTCTACCTCTCCAAGGGTCTTTTGGGCCCAGATGTCCCCAACTTCCTGACATCAGGTGAAGTGCGCATTTCATTGCCTTTGGGCACTGAAGATTCCGAAGTCTACCGTCAGCTCGTGGGTGATACTCTCACACCGATCCGATCGCAGTCAATCTGCCTGCTTGCCAATTCCCTCCACCGATTCTACCAGACCAAAGTAATCCATATTCGTCCTTGGTTTGATGAGAAATCAGAGAGAAACATCAATCTCAAGAACATCCCGTCGGTGAAGGAGACTATCCAAGCCTGGAAGATTTCTAGTGCCCAGCTGCCCGATAGTGTCAAGAAGCTACAATTGCCTCGCGGTTCTTTGAAGTATGCCATCCAAAGTGCTAGCACCTCGGATTTCACATCCAAGTCGTTTGCCACTAAGGAAACTCCTGTATGTTTGATACGCCTCTTTTCCCCACGTGCATAGCTGACTACGACTTTAGATCCTGTCGACGCAAGAAGACATATTATCCAACGTGATGTGGCGATTCTTGCAATTGCGTGGCTATGTCGACGATAAGCACAAGCTGACCGTGTGGGGCAAATGCCTTGAACAAGCGCTGTCAAATGTGGACCCAGCGGACAATCTCGAGGAGGCTATTTTCATTGCCATTGAGATGATTCGCATGGATCTCCTTAACACTAAACAATGGTTCTCCCATGTGTCCGGAGGACCAATGAGAGGGTCTGGTAGGTTTAATCCGACGCTGTCGTGCTTGGGAATGAATGGAGCTGACTAGCCTGTGCTTTTTAGAGGAAGACAAGTCTTTCAACATGCTGGTTTCGCGGGTGGCCTGCATTGCGAAATTGCAGCATAAGCCGATCGGCTACTCTGGTCCTTTGAGTCGACAACTTCTCTGTTACCGCTCTCTGATCTCTGAGGTGCGGTCTGCACTGAGGAATCTGATTGAAGTGGTACTGGCTGGTCTGTTCCTCAGCGGCGATGCCGACCGTGATCGTAATGACTGGACTGAAATGGCAATTAAGTATGTGTCCCATGATTTACACCCCCACTGGAAGACTTTCTAACGCCTTTATCTCCAGGCTGCCTTTTATTGACGATAATGACTGTGGCCTCGGTATCGCTGTCCGCACTTACCTGGATGACCTGCCTCTACAACCCAACCCCACCTCACCTGAGGCGCGGGCGGAAGTGAAGTCAAAGGGTAAGGAATGGTTCCAGCACAGCGAAAGCTTCACCGGCAACCTGGATCTTGCTTTCAAACTCTGGGACGCGGTATACAAGGGAACCCAGAATGCCGGTAAAGAGGTTAAGGATGCGAAGCTGTGGAGTGATGCAAACACCTGGTTGTCGGAGCGCCGATGAAGGGAAGAAGCCGAGACCAATAGCTATTCTGGCGTCCTCATCTCATCAGAGAAGTAAAGGCCTCTGCCTTCCGACCTCATGTCTTGCCGAGCTGGTTCTTTTAAGGCTGTTACATCGAAATATCAACGAGGGGATTTCGGGTCTACCATATCGACATGAACCGCACCCGAAGCGCCTCAGCCTCTTTGTGATTTGATGACTCCAGTAGGTTACATGGATATCTTCAACATGTGCTAGTGGTGAATCCTCGTGTGTATTACTATCGACCTAGTCATCTACAATAAAAAGAAGAAAAGGCCCATTTGCGAGGAATATGAGAATAAACCGAGTAGCGAGTAGGTAATACATTAACGGCCTCGGGATCCGACTGTGTAGCCCGAAAATATTGTTACTGGCCGCAGTTTGTATCCTACGAGCTACATTGAGTACTTAATAGTATATGTTCAGCTACTAATTACCTACTAGAGTTGGCGGTAGTAGTATGTAGTAGCAAACTTGCGCGGTGTAGATGATCTGCGGAACTGCGGAGGCAAAGTGGCCTTTTCGGGTTTGGGGTTGTTTTGTCATCATCCTTTGTCACCTTTCAATTCCACTGTTTTCCTCGAGGAATTGAACCAACATACCTTCAACTCCATCTTCTTCACCAGAAACACACAGAAAATGGTTCGCTTGAGCTCCGTGCTGGTGGGCGCCGTTACCGCGCTCAGCAGCTTCACCAATGCAGCCTCCGTCGTCACCGACCTGATCCCCAGCAACTTCGACAAGGTCGTTCTTCAGTCCGGCAAGCCCGCACTAGTGGAATTCTTTGCCCCCTGGTGCGGTCACTGCAAGACCCTTGCTCCCATCTACGAGGAGCTTGCCCAGGTTTTCGCCCACGCCGAGAACAAGGTTACTGTCGGCAAGGTTGATGCCGATGAGCACCGCGAGCTGGGCAAGCGCTTCGGCGTTCAGGGTTTCCCCACCTTGAAGTGGTTCGATGGCAAGAGTGACAAGCCAGAGGAGTACAAGGGTGGTCGTGATCTGGAGAGCTTGTCCGCTTGGATTACGGACAAGACTGGCATCAAGCCCCGTGGCGCGCAGAAAGAGGCAAGCAAGGTTGAGTTCCTGAACGACGCTACTTTCAAGACTACCGTTGGCGGCGAGAAGGATGTTCTAGTCGCATTTACTGCGCCGTGGTGTGGCCGTGAGTTGCAGCCTTTTTTTCGTTCCTACGAATCATTGTATCGATGTGCCCTTGGCTGACTGTTTTGTTCTTACCCTATCTAGACTGCAAGACCCTCGCTCCGATCTGGGAATCCCTCGCCAATGACTTCGCCCTGGAGGAGAACGTTGTAGTTGCCAAGGTCGACGCCGAAGCTGAGAATGCCCGCACCCTGGCTAAGGAGCAGGGCATCACTGGATACCCTACCATCAAGTTCTTCCCCAAGGGAACTACCGAGCCCGAGCCCTACGCCAGTGCCCGTTCCGAGGAGGCTCTCGTTGAGTTCCTGAACCAGAAGACCGGCACCAACCGCGCTGTTGGCGGTGGTCTGAACCAGAAGGCTGGCACCATCGCTGCTCTGGACAGCCTTGTCGCTGAATACGTGCCCACTCACAAGTTCGAGAAGCTAGCCGCCGAGATCAAGAAGGCTGCCAAGGATGCCCAGGACAAGTACGCCAAGTACTATGTTAAGGTTGCCGATAAGCTGAGCCAGAACCAGGAGTACGCTGTCAAGGAGTTGGCGCGTCTCTCCAAGGTCCTGGGCAAGGGTGCCTCTGCCCCGGAGAAGGTCGACGATATGGTCTCTCGCAGCAACATCCTCCGCGGCTTCGCCGGTGAGAAGGAGGAGGCTGGCAAGGACGAGCTGTAAATTACTTTTGTTTCGTCTTTATAAGTCTTAATTGACTTGGGTCTGAGGTATCCATGTTGAAATGGTGTTGACCTCGTGATCCATGATCAATAGCGCAACTGGAATTTTGCCACAAATATCTCTTAGCATGCTCTTGTATCTCACGAAGATTGAAGTACTGAATGAATCCCATTGGGTCTTGTCTCATTTGGCTATGAGGCCCAAATATGTATACAAAAATGATATTGGACTCGGGGGACTCTCTCGTCGTCACATCTTCTAGATGCTTTGTCCTATCGGAATGTAGGGTATCGTCGCAAAAATAAAAACTAGTAACATAATACAGGCTAATCATTACATGGAGGCCATGTTCATGTCAATGTAGTGCCAGCACCAACCAGTTCCTTTCAAATCGCCACCTGGCTGCGCGTGGCATACTCCTCCTTCGCACGCACGCACGCACGCTTCTGTCTGGATTTCATTCTATTTCGTCGGTGTTGCCGATGTCGATTCATTTGCAGATCCTGCCATAGAGGCCTCGAGTTCATCCAGTCGACGGGTCATGTCGTCCACTAGTACGATATAGTGAGCAATTGAACACGGTCATATATGATGGGCGCTAGCACTGCTAGGCAATAAGGACTAGCCGGGACGAGACATACATTTCCCAAAAACCTCCTTTGAGACATGATCGAACTTGTTCTGCAATTGATCGAGGAGCTCATCGACAGCCACAGTGAGCTGGCCTTGGGCATCGGAGTTCTGATATATCGGTGAGTTGGAGAAACATCGTCCAGTATTGGGTGTTAACAAACGGGTTGTGACAGGAAAGACTCTTCGGCAGAAGTCTTTTCGGGAGAAGCTTCCTCAGCCATGGTGAAGCAGATGAGTCCCTTGGACGTTGTATGTATTATGCGGGCGCAAGACCATGGATCCTGGACCTTCCTACTCCCGCCCTGCCGCAGAGGGAGGTCGATAAGCCCGGAACATTTGTTGATCCGAGAAGCCTTATCGCCGATCTAACCTAATTAGGACTGGTCCGAGTCCAAAAAAAATCCCGTAGAAGTCGAGCCCGGCCGCTCTTCACATCCCCAATTGTCAACTCCAATTCCCCCACGACTAGACATCATGGTCAAACGAAGCAAGCTTATGCAAGCACTTGACGCCCACAAGGGTCGCGACTATGATGCCGAAAAGCAGAAGAAGCAGGTCAAGGCTGCTGAGAAGCGAAAAGGTGTGAAGCACGAGCCTGCTACTAAGAAGAGCAAGAAGGCTGCGCCTGTGGACGAAGATGTCGAAATGAGCTCCGGTGCTGAGGAGGATGAGGAAGTCCCCGAGGAAGACGAGGCTGAGGAGGCCGGCGACGACTCTGCCGAAAATGAGGACGAAGGCGAGGACGAGGACGAAGAAGAGGAAGAAGAAGATATTCCACTCTCAGACCTCGACGAGGACGAGCGTGAGGATGTTGTTACCCACCAGCGCCTGACAATCAACAATGCTGCCGCCATCAATGCTTCCATCAAGCGCATCTCCTTCATCACCAACCAGACCCCATTCTCCGAACACAACTCTTTAGTGTCGCAAGAGCCGATCGATGTCGAGGACCCCAACGACGATCTCAACCGCGAGCTGGCTTTCTACAAGGTATGCCAGGCTGGCGCTCTCCAGGCCCGTGGTCTGCTGAAGAAGGAAGGTATCTCGTTCACCCGCCCCGGTGACTACTTTGCCGAGATGGTCAAGAATGACGAACACATGGACAAGATCAAGAAGAAGCTATACGACGAGGCTGCCGGAAAGAAGGCCGCCGCTGAGGCACGCCGCCAGCGTGACCTGAAGAAGTTCGGCAAGCAGGTGCAGGTCGCCAAGCTGCAACAGAGAGCCAAGGAGAAGCGTGATACCATGGAGAAGATCAACACTTTGAAGAAGAGTAAGTTACAACCAGGCCCCATCTGGTCCAATAATATCTCTCCTGTGCAAAAGTTCTCAGACTAATCTTTTCTTTTCTACTTTACAGAGCGCAAGGCCGATTCTTCTGCCCCCACCGACGACTCCAAGGATCTCTTCGACGTCGCTATTGAGGAGGCCGGCCAGCCCGAGCGCAAGCGCGGTCGCACTGACGGTGGTTCCAGCAGGCGTGCGAAGAAGGACCAGAAGTTCGGATTCGGTGGCAAGAAGCGACACATGAAGAGCGGCGATGCTGCCTCTAGCGGTGACCTGTCTAACTTTTCTCACAAGAAGATGAAGGCTGGCGCGAAGCGTCCCGGCAAGAGCAAGCGAATGGCCGGCAAGCGCTAAGGAGGGGAGATGCTTTTTGTCTGACCAGAGTAGATGGAGAAGTGGAGAAGGGGAAGAGAAGAGCGCAGGGCTGAGTGTGACGAAGGCGCCAGCAAGCGCACCCAAAATTCCTAGGTGGTCATCCACCATTGCTTTGTGTAATATCTAGAAATACCTTGCATCTGCACATTCCTATTGAAAGATTGAAAATTCAAACAACCCCCCACGTCGTAATTATCGTTCATACGAGTTCACGCCATCCGGCATCTCGTCGAGAAACAAGCGTCTTGGCTCTCGCGGCGAGGGTGCCGAATAGGAAATTGGTCTCGTATTATTAAATTATTCGATCAGATTAGATTTCGACGAATCCAAGGAAGCAAGGATATACTTCTATGACCCCCAATGACCCCCTTAGACTCGAGTGTTTGTTATAAATACTAACTAACTCCTCTTTTGCTCCTTGTAACGAACTGGTGTTGTTCCCATTCGTGGATGCCTTACGCCTGCGGCATCAACTTAGGCATCCGTGCCTAGTACATGTATCTAGTTCATCTCAGCTTTACTTTTCTCTCTCTCAAGCTATTACTTTCGTCGAAACCACGTCATATGTTGATCTCTGTGAGAATATGAGCATCCCCACACTACTACTTCAAAACCTGAATCACTTCACTATGGCCGAGTACCGCTATCTGGCCGTTGGTCACCCCCAGTGGGTCGAGGTTCGTGACAACCCTACTATCATATCATATTCATGACCGAAGTCCCCCACGTTTTAGCAACTAAGTAAGGAACGTATATCTAGTTCCCCAATAATCTTCCCCCGAATACTCGCGCCGCATGCCCCTGAACCGAGATCATCTCGAGATCATTCCACAGCCTGAGCTGAACATCCACGAATTTGATATCCCCGCTCGAGATGGACATTCTATTTGCGTCCGAGCATACAAACAATCAGGCCAGACCGACCTGCCTCTCCTCATATATCTGCACGGAGGTGTGGATTTGTTAAAGGAGGCCTTGAAACAGACGATGCCTCATGTCGTGCGTTGGCAGCGCAGATTCCCGTTCTTGTATTAAACGACGAGTATCGATTGGCGCCAGAAAATCCATTTCCAACTGGCTTTGAGGATAGTTTTGATGTCGTTCGCTGGGTAAGTGCTACATAAAAACGAATGCCACCTCGAATTAAGCAGAGAGCTGACTCCCATCTAGGCTGTCTCTCACGGATCCTCCCAGCTACCCATTAACCGCAGCGAGGATTCATTCTGGGTGGCACGTCTGCTGGTGCCAACTTTACAGCTGGCATTGTCCATCTTGCAGTGCAAGAAGGGTTGGCACCCGCACTGACGGGGCTATTGTTCTTGGCAGGTAGTTTCTGTCATCCCGATGTACGCCCAAAGGAGTATCGTGATCGGATCCTCAGTGTTGATGAGATCAACGATGCGCCGGGACTTACACGCAAATCCATTGACTATTTCGCGGCCAAGTATGGAGCTCCGCCGAAAGACAAACGTCTCTCGCCACTTCTTTTTGAATCGCATGCCAATTTGGCGAAGAAGGCGATTTTCTATGTTTGTGGATGGGACCCCCGACGCGATGAGGCGTTGTTGTTCGAGCAAATGTTGAAGGAGGAACAAATTGGTACGAAGGCGTATGTTTATCCGGGACTGCCACATGGCTTCTGGGGAACTTGTCCTGACCTAGATGTATCGGAGGATTGGCAGAGGGACTTGATCGAAGGTGTTCGATTCCTCTTGGAATAGTAGTAGTTCGGGTAGTTCTGAATTCGGATGTGCTTTGAAGAGTATCTAGTTATGTGTACATGAATCAAGTAGTCTTTCAACAAAGAGCCCTGAGAGGAAGCAAAAAAGTAAGTGAGATCGATATTCCGGGCATTTTTCATAATATATAGGCAAGCATATTCATCTTTTGAAATACGCATTGCATTTTTACTCCTGATCCTCGGCCTCGGCCTTGGCGACTCTCTTCTCTTCCCATGCCTCGAGGAACTTCTGCACCTTGGGGCCCCAGACTTCCTCGCCCGCATCAAGGTCCTTATATTCAATAATATTCTCCGGCTCGAGGGTGTACTCAGCCTGGCGACTGCGCACAAGTTCGCTCATCAGAGCGCAGCTACCAACAGCCTTGCCAAGATCGTGTGCAAGCGACCGCACATAAAATCCAGATGTGACAGTCATGGAAATCTTGACTGCGGCGGGCTGAGTCTTCGGCTGCTCTGTCTCAGTGGTCGGAGCTTCAGCTGTTGCGGGTTCCGGAACAGGAGGCTCAGCGGCAACAGGCTGGGCAGCGCCGTCCTCAGAGACCTTTTGCTTCTTGGTAGCATCTTGATCACCCTCCTTGGGAGAGTCTGCGGCAGGAGGTGACTTGCGTTTCGCAGACTGCACCTCCCCGTCCTGGGAAGCTTCGCTTTCTGCCGAAGGGACCACCGGCAGCGTGGCATCCTGCTCGAGGAGCTTATCTGCGACGAGCTTCGCATCGCCAGAAATCTCTTCCTCCGGCCACTTGTGCTCGTGTGTGCCAGGCTCATACCACTCGACGATGTCCATGTTCAAGACCTCCACCGGACGAGACTTGATCTCGATGGGCGGGGCCTTGCCCTCGCGCGCATACTCGTACAATTTTTTACCCTCCACCTTCAACGCCGAGAAGATCGGTGGGCGTTGCATGATCTTGCCGCGGAATTGATCGAGAGCCTTTTCAACGGCCTCGCGCGTAACATGCTCGTAGGGTGCCCGGCGAACAATCTTGCCTAGTCGATCATAGGAGTCGGTCTCGGCACCGAAAAGCACGAGTTGTCTCGTAGGTCTTGGTGCATGCCAGGAAGTCATTGAGCGACTTGGTACCCTTGCCCACACCGGTAACTAGAACACCAGTCGCAAGCGGATCCAGAGTACCACCATGGCCGATCTTGACGTCCAATTTCTGAGTGCGCCGGCGCTTGCGCTGGTACTGGCTCTCACGCTTTCGACGAGCGCGTTCCTCCTCCAGCCATGGCCTGAAGAGATCGGAAGGATTGAAGTGGTGTTGGAGCTTGCGAATCACGTCGGCCGAAGTAACGCCCTGTGGTTTGTGAACGGCTTGCAAAAGTCAGTTGTGAAGTTTCCAGGTTGGAGCAAGGCAACTGAAGGGGGTATAAAGACATACCGAAAACGCCCTCGAAGATCTTCTCGCCAGACATTCTGTTTGTGCGAAAAGCTCGAAAAGCAGATGGGAATACCATCTGGTGTCTAGCTGTGAAATTGTCAAGAAGCTCAAGTTCGAAAGCGAATGGAGTCGGAAACTGCCCCGACCCGGCGAATCCTCAGGGACCTGTAATTTTGGGGGTATCGATAAGGTATTGGTAATTTACCGGCATCTCCCACTGCCACTGCTCACTGCCCACTTAGGAAGGGACGACCGTAAGGAAAGTGCCTTGAATCAACAACCTCCTACTCCATTCCAGTTCCATTCAAGTTCACTCTTCTTTCCCCGATCTCATCATCGTGGAAACCTCCCTTCTCCCCCAATCCACAATGCTGCGACCGCGATCATGACCTCCCGCGAAGAAACCGTCCTACCTCCCATTGATACCTCCATCGGCGACGAGAATGAGTGGCCCGAGTTCGAGCTCACCGATGCGAAGGTCTTGCGACCAGGGAAGATGCTATACGCGAACCTTCTGGAGGCATCGGAGCAGACCCCAGTTCAAGTCATTGGCTGTCTAGAGCTCAAGAAGGGTCAAGAACAACTACGTGCGTCTACTTTCTTTTCCCTGTCTCAGTCCGCTTATCGCGACGGCGCACAGGACGCGTCGTGACTAGGTATCAAACTTGACTGTAGTTACGGAGTACTCATCCCATCATTCTCTAGTGCTCGATCCCAAGAATCTCAACCCTCGCATCATACTTGATAATGTCACACATTATGCCTACGGTCAGATGGAAGACCGAAGTGTTGAGATGTGGGCTGCCGGGAAGTCGGGTTGGTACAAGGTCTCACCAGCCAAGCGCTACCTACCGCACTTCAATCGCATCGTCCAGGCAGTCGACGCCTTTTATTTTTTGATGGACAAACACCAACATGGCAGGAAACAGCTCAATCCAACCTTCAAGAGTCTCTGCGAGCAGGTAAAAGCTCTCTCGTCCGACTCTTTGGAAGTGGCCCCCACTAACCAATCCCGATCGATCAGTATGTCTTCCACACACATGGTGCTTGTGAAACGGCGGTGGAATCAGCAGACGTGTTTATGGAACATTCTTCTTTTCTCCTCCGCTGTATGATCGAAGAAGATGACGATGGCGATGTGGCATGGACCAAGACCAACATCTTCCTGCATCTCCGCAGACAGTTTAAGGTGCGCAAAACAACACATTATACCTGTGCGTTGCTACATGAGGCGATTACTGATTCATTTCATCATAAAAAGCAGGATGAATACAAATCCCTTGTAGATCTTCATTCTCCTAAGAAGACAGATATGAACAATCTCTCGGAAGAACCTCAAGCGTCAACTCCGCGCCACGAACCCACTGCCATTGCGAAATCACAAGCAAATGTCGTGTATCAGCTGATCATAGAACTCAAGGACGAGGGTCACCTGGCGAAGCGTCGACTTCACCTTGATCTTCTGACAGAGCGCCTGTCAGAAAAATACTCTTTCAACCAAGAGAATGCTCGCAAGATCATCGCGGCGAGAGCAAATGCTGTGCTAGAGATGTTGGACGAAAATGACACGCCTAGCTTCAAATGGTCACGATACGTCATTCATCGAGAGCTTGTGGATGCCGCCTCGCAAAACGTTATTCTGCCACCAGGCCTTCTTACGCCGTTACAATTGACCGATGACTCCAGCGACGACGAACATCTAATAAGGACCCAAAAGTCCGTTCTCCGTCCGAAGGGGAATTCTTCCGTCTCTGGGAAAATCATGGGCAAACGTAATCGCAATGCCAATGCATATCAACAGAACACTCAGTCTGGCATCGAATCTGATGCTGATGCCGAAAGCGAAGACGAAGAAGAGGATGAAGTTATGGAAGACGTCGAGACCCCGAGTAAGGTTCGGGGCCACGAGCTGATCCGAACACCTCTGGCATCTGCCAAAAGTCAAGATCGCTCATTCCTCGGCAATCCTCAATCCGCAGCCGCATCCCTTCTCAAGAGTGTTCTTTCCGCAGATGTGCCAAAGACAACATCTGCACTTGCATCCAAAGCAACAAACGGAAGGTTGAGCTTTGGCATTGGCCGTCCCCCGAGCGGTGAAACGAATGGCCTGGTAGAGCCTGAAACATGGACATGCCGTATCGCCGGATGTTCTAAGACTATTACCAGCAAAGGGGAAGAACGCAAGAAAGAGATTTCCGATCATGGTGGGGAGCATGATTGGGATTTCCAGATGCAAGTTGAATTGGTCGAAGCAGAGCGACGCCTGCAACCAAATCACCCTGTCAGCAATATGATGCAGTATCTGCTCAACCAACACAACCAACAGATGCGTGCGGCTTTCCCAGAAATCTACCCACAAGAGGCAGTGGTGAATGGAACGGCCGACCAACCTGACACAACCTCTATCGATGAGGAGGATATCCCAGAGCCAGAGCCAAACCACGACCTGTCTGCTGAGTTAGACCTGAGTGTAAATGGACATACAACTTGAAGGTGTTGGAAGTGACCAACCATCTTCACGATCATGATGTACCGAATTTTCACGACTACCGTACGAGATACCACCGCCACATAGGCTTATGGTGACACCGAGTCTTTATTTGCTGTTTGGATAGGTACGCCTTGACATCATTTTTGTATAACACGTTCGAATCTAACACCCCATTTGCAGATCCACAGCTGTACACTATTATCCAAATCAAATTGAATCCCATTTATTCTGAATGGTCCCTGAGATGCTCTGCATATTTCCTGGGGTTGTTCCCTGCAAATTCCCCCATGTAGCCCTATCTCAGGGCAACTACTTAGTACCAGGAGATATAACGTAAATAGCCTGCCAGTGCCTTGTTAAGTATCCTGGGACTCGGAGGTAAGGAATTGCAACGAGTGGTAGAGATATGCCATCAATACAAGTACTACCTAAGTACAGATTCAATAAAGCCACAGGCAAATTCTTCTTCCGCAAATCGTGGAAATTTGCTCGAAAGAGCGAGACAGATATGGTATGGTCATACTATGTACAATCCGGCACAAGGCTACCGCTTTTAGTTGCGGTTGCGGCCATACTATCCCAGGAAAGAGTAGCCAAAACCCAGCGGGTCATTGGGAAGGAGAAGCTATCTAATACAGACTCCCGGACCCAAGAGGGTCGATGCAAGACAGAGCGCACGCTCTGACTTCACCTATACATGGATTTGGGAGGGGAAGGTCGAATGAGAGAAGGAAAAGAAGCTTTTTGACTTGGAGGGGTATACCACGAAAACATGCCACATATATCACGCACATACAGGATGAGGACGAGAGAGAGATAGAAGGAAGGAAAGAAGGAGGGAGAAGAGAGGAACAGAGAGATGAAGGTCGGTGAAAAGAAATATGAAAGGTTAGTGCAGGAATGTCAGGTAGGAACGCAAGGTCTAGCTGGTTGAGATGGAAGGAAAATGAAATCGCGTATGCAGGAAAGATCAAAGACGCAATGATCAATGTGTTTAAAAGGATATGAGAGCGGAGGAAGAAGAAGAGAAATGTAATCAAGGAATCCTGCCCTCAAAAGATCGGGGAAGGAATCATTGTTGGTGAACAATGTGAGCGTCGACAAGCGCTGGACCGCAGAGTTAGCAAACGTAGAAAGAATTAGGCGTAGGGATTAAGATTGACTTACTCTGAAGTGCAGACGATTGTCCCTGTCGCGATTCGCAGGCGCACTGAAGGGTGCTGCCATCCAAAAAGTCCAGCAAAATGCTGTTAGGCAGCTCTTGCATGTCCTCGTCGGGAAGACAGGGAGTTCGGAACTCGCTTAAATGGTATCGCTTGGTCATGTTGCGAGCGGTGGCATCAGTAGTGCCAGGCGCCAGAACAAGGAATCCGTTCTCGTCGATGCGCATGACTCGTCGCTTCCAAAGAAGGGTATCGGGGAATTGCACGTTGACTTCGCCAATTTCGATAGGGTCAGAGAGATGGCCATGGGATGGCGAGGGGGAAATAGCAGACTCGTGTACAGAGATGGGGTCAATGTCTTCCTCCTTCACTGGCGGTGACAAGGCTCCAATGATGCTACGACGAGAGTTTGAGGTGATGGAGGAAACACGACGCATGAGGCGCGAGGCGCGAGAGCCCTTCTTTTCATCAACAGGAGAGGAAGAGTTCAAGTTCTCCTCGGTCCTAGAGCGCGAAGACAAGGAAAGTCGACTGCCTGGACGGGAATTTGGGGTAGCAAGTCGGCCGGACCCAGCAGATGACATCGACATGCTGCGGTCCTCCGGGCGATTGATAGCAGCCTCAGAGCTCGTGTCTTGAGATAGAGGGGGCTCCGAGGTCTCGTGCTCCACAGTCAGTGGACTGGCCTGGAGATTGAGAACATCGGACTCCGAAGGCTCCAGTCCGGAGGAGCCAGGAGATACATCTGAGTCGCGGACTATACGAGCCGTCACTGAGATTGAGTTGGTGCGGCGAGTACTAGTGGAAGCAGAACGCGAATCCTGGCGGGTCAGGCTTGGTGCGCGAGAAAAGTCAGGAGTGCTGCCACTAGGGATAGAGATCGATGCACGCTTGCGCAAGTTCTCGAAAGACGGTGAGGCTGAAGGGGCCGTCACAGTGACTGTTGAACCGGCTGGAGTGCCTTCACGGCTAGAGAACTTCTCCAGGGCCTTGATACGAGACGAAATGCCGGAAGATACGTTAATTTTCTTAGCCATCATCACCGGGGTCGGGGGGCCGTTCTCAGTATAGGAACTAGATGCGGACCTGCCCACTTGTAGTGAGTGTAGAGCGGAAGGAGAAGCAAGGCCGTGAGGGCTGGATACAGCGCGTGAGCCTCTCCAGGAGTTCTCACCACCGTTGGGTGACTTGACCGAAACTGGTCTGGCCTCCTGCACAGTGGCCGATCGAAGCTCTTCCATGAAAGAATCGTCCGACAGGAGATTGTCGTCGTCAGAGAATTCGTGGGTTGGGACGTGGATGGGCTCCAGGTGAATATTTCGCCTTTGGTCTAGAGGGAGCGGCTCCGTCTTGGGGCTAGGGGGGCTCTTCGGGGGCAGCTTCAATCGACACCGAGACGGGCGCGACCGAGGCCTCCAATGGTTCAGCCACGGGGGTTTGGAACGTGCTTGTGGAGAATGAGATAGCAGGGAGGGTAGCTGGTTCAGTGGCCTCTGGTACGGTAGCTTCGACGGCTTCAGCCTCTTCTAACTGCTGATCTGCCGCCAGTGAAACTTGGGGTTGTTGGAAAGGAGCGGCTCCTGGATCAGGCTTCGGGTCTGAAACTTCGGCCGACTCCCTGTCAAGTGGAGATTCGGCAGAGACGCTAGGTGGGACTAGGTCACCCTTAGTCTCATTTTGGCCAAGGATTGCGGAGTCTTCTTGATCGGCGCCTGTTTCATGATCAAGGACCGTCTGTGGAGTCTCGGATTGGGCATCTTCAAGAACCGAATCAATATGCATAGTAGAGAATGTGGTATCGGCACTAGGCTCCGAAGTATGTGATGAGGGTTCGCCCTCGGAATCTGACTCGGGCACAGAAGTGGAGGATTCTGGGGCAGGAGTTTCCACAGCGGGTTCTTCGGATTGGGAAGGCTCTTCGGACAGGGTAAGCGCTTCGGACTGGATAGGCTCCTCGGGCTGGATAGGCTCCTCTGGCTGGATAGGCTCCTCGGGCTGGATAGGCTCCTCGGGCTGGATAGGCTCTTCAGACAGTGTAAGCTCTTCGGGCTTGGTAGGTTCCTCAGGATGGGTAGACTCCTCAGGCTGGATAGGCTCTTCAGACAGTGTAAGCTCTTCGGGCTTGGTAGGTTCCTCAGGATGGGTAGACTCCTCAGGCTTAAGAACCTCCTCTTCAATGATTTTTTCACGAGCTGAAAGCAGAGATTCCTCTTGATTGATAGGGGCCTCTTCCTGAACTGGCAATTCTGGAGCCGAAGCGGGCTCATGAACGGGCTCAGCAGCGGGCAATTGCGGTTCTGGTTGAGTTTCCACAGGACCCTCGAGACTTTGCTTAGCTGCTAGCGGTAGAGACTGGTCCACAGCTGGCTTTTCCTCTGTGGCAGGCAGAACTGGAGCCGAGGCGGGCTCAGGGACGGGCTCAGCAGCTGGCAATTGCGGTTCTGCTTGGTTTTCAACAGAGCTCTCGAGACCTGGCTTAGCTGCTAGCGATAGAGACCGATCCGCAGATGGCACTTCCTCTGCGACAGGCTGCTGTTCAACCTTTGGCTTCTCCGGCTCGGCCTGCTGAGATTCCGGATTGACGTTCTCTTTATTGCTCTCGTATGTTTTGGCAGCCAGTTCCTCCGCTTTGGGCTGCTCTTCTACTTCTGGTATATTTTGTTTCTTCTTGTTCTCTGCCCGCTTCGCCATGTTTTTCTTTCTCTGTTGCAGCGCCTTCATTAAACGTTCCTTTTCGGGCGTCAATCCAGACGATGTTGACAATGCACCCAAAGACTTGGCGCCGGGGATAGTTGGGGCCTGGAGATGGGAATCGAAGGCGGAGGAACAAGCAGGGGAGGAATTGGTGGGGCTCGGCTGTTGGGTCTGCTTGCGAAGGAACTTCCTTGGGAGCGTGGACGAGGGGGGTCGGGGGCGGCGTTGTTCGATTTCCGGATCGAAGATGAGCGCATATTGGATGGTAAGGATGCCACGGGCCGTTGATCTGGGTTCCGTGAACTCCCCGCAGTCCGAGGCCGTCCACTTTGATCAACAGACGGACGTGGACCTAACTTGACCTTTGGAGAGTAGCCCGCTGCCCGTTCCAGTTCCCTGAGCGAGGGTCTTGCGGACTGGGTTGACATTCGAGCTTCCTCCGATGGCCGGGGAAACTCATCCAGGATGTTGCGATACTTTGTATATTCCGAACCAGAATCGGGTGATCTGGGAGACGTGGTCACCGATTGTGTTTCACTGGGGCTTCTTCCACGGGAGTGTGATCTCGAACTCGCTCGGGATGGTGGGGGCCGTAAATCGGGTGACGATGTTTCAGGGCCAGGCGATATGGTAGGGGGAGATGTTGGCGGCGGCGGCGGAGATGTGGTCGTAGGTGGCACCACTGTAGCCTCTGATTTCTGACTGCCCGATCTTTGACGGGCCTCGGACCTTGGAGGCGCCACTGGGTATTCTTTTGTCTCTTCCTTTAATCCATTCTCCTCTGCGTCCTCGGTGATCTCCATCAGTCGACGGCGACGCAGGGAGCTTGACGAGGAAGTGATGGAGCCAGAAGCAGTGTGAAGAAGGCATGCTGACGATAAGGAACTCTCGTTGAGATCCGACGCCTGGGTCAAAACGAGGACGGTGTCGTTTGGTGTGAACTTATCGGTAACGGATTGAAATTGAACATTGCTGCGGGCTGTGGTCGAACATTCTAGTCAGACGATCCACTCGGATGAAGAGCAATTTCGCATCTCCCCTTGACCTTGACCTACCTTGAATCAACCGTGACAAGCCCTCGGGCATGTACCGCAGAATCACCTTCCTCCGCCGGTAATGCAGGAAACCGTATAGCGGTGACGTTTCCTCGTAGTTGTCGATGGCATTGCGTACCTCGGGCACCCCGCCGGTACCTCGATGAAGGAGATCAACCTCATCCCTAGAGATATAGTGTAATAGGAACCTGATGGAAGCAACGGGTCAGCGATGTCCAATGCAACGATTCATGTTGACAGATTGCGCGGCGCGTTGGGCGCAAAAGGGGGCCATTTGGGGAGACTGGGGGAAAGTAGGGGGACTTACCATCCGCCGGCGTCGGCCAGTGCACTCTGGTAGGCTTCGACGATGACGGGATTCTCTAGCCCATTGAGAGACATGGCGCGAACGACATGGAGGCAAGTCGAAAGCGTCGAGTTGAGGAAGGAAAAGGAGGGGAGCCGAAGTCTGGAGGTGTCTGGACGCTAGGCACACGGACAACCTTAGGAACGGACACTAGTAGGAGCAGGGCAGGGCCAGGGCCACGGGTTAGAGATCTCGAGATCGAGAAACAGTCCAATCACGATGGCTCGGGAGGAGCGAGAGGGGGCCAACAGTTGAATTGTCTGATAGGCTCTGCGGCGCGAACCTCTGTGGATGGTACCTTGTTGGGTTTCAGGGGGACCATCCGTTCGGTGGTTTGACTCCACTCGCGGCTATCCCAATTTAAGTGGACAAGCTGAAACACTCGCTCGGAGACCGTTCTCTTTATAGCATGGTGGAATCCTTTTGTCCCGTCAGTGAGCCTTGTTGTTGTGTTGGTACCTGTTCGTACATAGTTAGTATGTGCGTGACAAGGACAAGGTTGCACGAAGGATTCCATGGTATGGAGTAGATGTCAGTGTACATGGGGTACTCGGGTACTCCTAGTTGATAGTTACCCCTAATTAGCCAATAGAGTAATGCATCCTCCCATACCAGTGATCATAGTAAGTAGTGGATTCTCGTAGGTATACTTGGGTATGCATATGCATGGAGATACTACTAGTACTTCCTCTTCATCCATGGATATCCATGGATATCCCAGGGATATAAACTTATCAACTTATCAACATCTCCCGCGGATCCCCGCCTCGTCCTAAAGACACTCGGCGACCCCCGATGGCGGGGACCCAAGAACCATTTCTACTTAATACCAGCATTCCACGCACTACAATTGTTCTCTTTTACTCGATTTGATTTGATTTGACTTGACTCATCCTCCTCATCCCCATCCTCATCCTCATCATGGACCTCCCCGCTCTCGCCTCGCTCCCATCGCTGCCACAGGAGGCCCAACTGCGGGTGCTGGACACCCTTTTCGAGCCCTCCCCCGAACTCCACCAACTAATGCTCCCTTTACTGGCGAACCAGACCTTCAACTCTTACACGTCACTCATCGATGCCGTTGGGGGCCGCATGTCCGCCCTCTCCGCCGCCAACTCCCCCACTGACCGGAATGTTCTATTCGGCATTTTGGGCTCGCACCCTCGGCTCGGACGGCCTGCCGCTAACCCCGAGCACCTCAGCGAACTGAGCAAAAAGGAACAGGCCCAGCTGCAGACCGGCGCCGAGGAACAAGCCGAGAAATTGCGCGAATTGAATGCCGAGTATGAGGAGCGATTCCCCGGACTGCGCTTTGTGTAAGCCCCTCGTCCCCTCCTCCTCCTCCCTTCCCCTCCGATCCTTTGCTCTTTTCTGACAGCGCCGATCTTCTCCGATCGCAGCTCCTTTGTCAACGGTCGCACTCGCGATGTGATCATGGTGGAAATGCGTCAACGGATTGACCGAGGAGACAATGACCAGGAAATTGCGGAGACCATCCAGGTATGTGCCGAGAGACTGCTCTTTCGGACAAGCTGAATCAACTAACACGAACAGGCCATGTGTGATATTGCAAAGGATCGAGCCCGTAAACTACAGGCGCGCATCTAAAAAAGAGATACCGAGAGATACCCCAATTCCAATCTATGTATTTACGATCAAAATGCCGACTGTCGTCTGTTCTATTGAGTTCTCCATTTATAAGCACTAGTCAAGCCTTAGCGACGCTTGTCACCTGTTTCAGGGTCCAGTCTCGCATTTCGTAGATAAGTCTTAAGACTAAGACTTAAGACTTGACTTAGGGCTCCACTCAACCGCCCCGATTTGATGTCATCTTAAAGCTCCTCTCCGGCCGGTGCCGCTTAGCCTATCGGCAACTTTTTCTTTCAGGATGCCTCAATTTCTTTAAAGATTCTAATTTTTTTTTTTCATTTCTATTCCCTATACTTGCCATTTTTGGCTTCTCCCTCTCTCTTCATTGTTACCCACTTCCATCCAATGCGACCCGGATGCGCGCATTGCCATGGTGGAGGGAATCACGGATTCACTGACCCCCGCGATGGCCGGGGATAACCCGCCACTGCGACCCTCGACATTGAGTAAGTTCCTATCTAGCCCGGTCGCTTTGTAAATGAAATGCGATGTGCTTCTAGGAGGAGTGGCCCAATCGATAAATGGATCAAACTTTTCTAGTTTCCTCCATTTTTCCCTCCAGCGCGGCCGATTCTAAGAGAGCACGCGCGCTGATTGTCATAGGCTCAGAATCCAGCAATAGCCAACAAGATGTGCAGCGCACTTCGCATCGTGTGCCGCCTCCCGTCAGACATTCTACCTCACAAACGCTGCACGAGACCCGTACCGAAGCCAGCGCTATCGATCCGTTGTCCCAAGTAAGCGACCCCCGAAGATCCCATACGAGTACGGAGTATACACATAAGAAGATAAGAACTGCGAGAGTCTGGGGTTGGTCGCATTGGAAATCCTAAATGGGAATACGAAGTGTGGCCTATACTCAGCCGCATCGACTAGTATTGGGACTCTGCATATACTCTGCAGATACTCTGCAGATGGGATGCCATGAGTAAATCAAGCTGACATGCGGGTTGTAGCACATCATCCAGCGAACCAACACTCAAAAGTCAATTCCCCTCAGGCTCCTGGGCCGCGCATCCTATGAGGCCGAAGCCGGTAGTTCGGAGTATAGCCTGTCGGAACAAGGCGCAATTCGGGGTGAGGCGTCGCCAAACTCAAAGCCCAAAGAAAAGAAGTGAGTAAAGCCAAAGCCAAAGCCAAATCTTACTATGTTGTGCTTTGTGTGTGTGTGTGTGTGTGTGTGTGTGTGTGTGTGTGTGTGTGTGTGTGTGTGTGTGTGTGTGTGTGTCATGGTTGCGCCTGCGTGGTGTTTCCCCCCCGCGGGAATTTGGTGGCGGCCTCTCCGCGGGGCCCGGTTTACAATACAATTTTATTGCTTTTCTGTGAATTGCTGTGACTTGCTGTGCATTTGCTGACTTAAATTCCTCGTGTCCCCTTCTCGCGATGTCTAGAAAAGGTGTTTCTTTCCTAAGCCGCATTATCGGTACAAAGAAAAAAGATCAGCTGCCAGACGCAGAAGATGAGAGCTCCGAACCCGAGCCTAACCGCATGTCCATCGATACTTCTCATCCAATAGGATTTATTCCGCGACACCCTGCGCCAGCCAGGTATCTGCGAGTTCGTACGCATTACAAGAAAGAAAAGGAGTTTGAAAGGCTCTTCCTGGCTCAGGAGCTCACAGGCATCCCCGGCCAGCAGCGTCCCGCGGAACGTCGGATATCAACAACTACTTCTTCCCAGAATGGCGAAAATACGGGTAGGGCTATATGGGCCCTGGAATTCTCAAAAGATGGCAAGTACCTAGCTGCCGCAGGTCAGGACAAAAAAGTCCGGATATGGGCAGTCATATCAACCCCAGACGAGCGTGAAGCTGCAAACCATGATGATACCGAAAAGCCCGGCAATGAACAAGACCCGCCACGCCTGAAAGCACCCGTGTTTCACCCCAAGCCGGTTCAAATTTATGAGGGACACACCGGTAGCATTTTAGACGTGAGTTGGAGTAAAGTAAGTCACCGAGTAAACCCCGAAGGCAATATCCTCTGCTGACCTTTGGACTAGAACAACTTTATTCTCTCTTCGTCTATGGACAAAACCGTTCGACTGTGGCATGCAAGTCGACCCGAGTGTCTCTGTTGCTTCCAGCATAGTGATTTTGTCACTTCTATCCAATTCCACCCTCGGGATGATCGCTTTTTTCTTGCTGGCTCGCTCGACACCAAGCTCAGACTGTGGAGCATACCTGACAAGAGTGTGGCATTTGTAACGGCTGCACCCGACATGGTAACCGCGGTGGCATTCACGCCGGATGGTCGATACTCGATGGCTGGATGTCTGAACGGAACGCTGAATATCTATGACACAGAAGGCTTGAAGGTTTCCGGACAGATTCATGTTCGATCGGCTCGGGGAAAGAATTCCAAAGGCCACAAAATTACAGGGATTGATACAATGACCAGTCCACCGGGCGACCCCAAAGGTGACATCAAACTGTTGGTAACGAGCAATGACTCTCGAATCCGCCTCTATGATTTCCGAGATCGAGTCCTAGAGGCCAAATTCCGTGGAAATGAGAACAGCTGCAGCCAGATTCGGGCAACCTTTACAGAAGACAGCAAACACGTCATCTGTGGAAGTGAGGATCGTCGTGCCTATGTTTGGCCGATTGGGACCGTAGAACGTGACACGGACAAGCGTGCCTGCGAGGTATTTGAGACCCAGTCTGCCATTGTGACGGTAGCCGTGACCGCTCCAACTGCGACAAAGGAGGTGCTGGCTCTGTCTGAAGATCCAATCTACGATATCTGCAACCCCCCGCCTGTCGCACTTATGAGCCCTGATGAATCTTCCGAAGCGCCAAAGCAGGAAAGTTCTGGAAATGAATCTGGGAGCAAGCATATCCGGACCAGATCTACGCCGCGACTATCGATTGTTAGCAAAATGGCACATGATTCGCCGTCATACCTTGCTCGATCAAAGCATCCTGATGGCAACATTATGGTGATGGCCGATTATTCCGGTAAGATCCAGGTACTTCGACAGGACTGCGCCTATGACAAACGACGATTTGAAAACTGGAATGCCAACTCAACAATCTCACGACGGATTATGGGACGTTCGAATTCAGCACGTCATAGTGTGGCGTCTTCAAACGGCAAAGAGTCAACCCACAAGACGCCGTCTGAGCGGATTGTTTCCTGGCGCAACTCTGTTGTTCGCCATGGGCGCACGAGCACAGAAGGTTCACGTTCCGGCCTGAGAACCCGCAGTCCATCGCCTCACCAGCACCGACCCGCAGCGTTTCGTCTCACCTCATCACGGCCGTCAAGTATGGGCCCTCACGAATCCCTTTCAGCAGCCGCCACGTCCCCACCGGCATCCCCACGTCCATCTGGTGCTCATACGAGACAACCAATCGAGAAGAGATCCGGCCTGAACGGGCATGGTCCTGTCGTTGGCTCAGATCTGCGGGCGCTACCATCTTCGTCGGCCGGAATCATAGCCAGTGGCAAGGGCAATGACAATCCGCTCTGGCTCCAAGGCGATCATAGCTATGCATACTGGAATAAGATAACACATGATGCGATGGCGATGCGGTCTCGTCGGAAATCAAAAGACTTTTTGAGCCCCAACTCGATCCAATCCGATGAACGGAAGCTGAGCACGACCAGCAGCATACTCAGCAGCGATTACGCCTCGTCGACTGGTGAAAAAGATGAAGAAATTCTCAAATGCGACTACTGCCATGGTTCGAACTTCCGTGGAGTCAAGGACCGGGACGGTAAGCAGAAGCTGATATGCGTGCAATGCAACCGGTCTGTTCCTTGAGCTTCAACTCTGTATTAGTTAGTGATGAATAATTCTGTTCATGTTTATGGTTTGATATTTTGCGGGGGGGGTTAGGTTTTTGGACATATTTGCTTACATATCAGCGTGCTTGTAACTTATGAATTTGGGGTAATTTGCATAAAAGTCCGCTGTGTTGTTGGCCCGAGTCGTATCTGGGCTTCGATGGTGGAGCTGTGGTTCTTACCAGCGTGTATGATAGTTATGAGAAAGGACATGTAACGAGATTGAAGGCACGGGAAATAATGAAAGTAGAAAACAATGAAAATGAATACTTTGTAACAATCATATTTCTCATTTTCTTCTATTCTGTATGAATAAGAAAATGCGACTGATTCATTACAGACTTGATCTAATCTACTTCGGTGCGGAGTCGATGCCAAGACTGGAAAAAGTCCGGCGCTGATAACTGCGGTCTTTCCACCCCGGATCTCCTCTCAACCACCATCTCTCTCCCAACACCTTTCATTTCGATAGCAGTTTCCGTTCCATTCCACAGGAACATCTCCCTCAAACAACAGATCCATCCATTTACACCGAATTTCCACAAACTCCCTTACAATTGCGCAGTCTCGATCTGAACAGCGCAGCAAAAGCGAGACCGGCTCTCGCCCACCACAATGACCTACCTCGAGACCTCTCAAGCCTACCTGGAGCAATCGGCCCAGCTTCTAGAGGCATACCCTGAGACGGTAAGACCAAGTCCATCGAACTCAGCCAAAGCCGGCGACAATCAAGTTGCCCGCATAAAGCTCGCAATGAACAACATCACACCTTCCCACCCCCCCCACCCTCATTCATATATTCGAACCCAACCCGCCACATCTACCCACAACCAAAGACCCTGCAAATATCATTTTTAACTAACAAAGAGTACCAGACCCGCATAACAACAAAATACAACTTCCCCACAGAACGCCCCGCACAAGTCCTCAAACGCACAAAATCACAAGCCAAATCCAACAAACCCGCCTCAACCTCCACAGAACCCCCCACCGCACCCATCGCCTCCCTAACCCTGAGAACCTACAACCCCGAATCCGGAATCACCATTCAATACCGCACGAACAAACTCCAAGAAGTCGGGCGCTTGATGACGGGTCTGGGAAAGCTGGCTGCGGGCGCGGACGTTGCTAGCCTTGGACTTTCAGCGCCGGCTGGGGCTGATATTGAGATGACGGATGCGCCGGAGGAGGCGGCTGGTTCTGCGCCTGCGCCTGTGCCGGCGGCTGCGAAGGGTCAGGCGCAGGGTGGGAAGGGGAAGAAGAAGAAGGGTGGCAAGAAATGAGGACGATTATTATGCATGATGCCATACTATGAAGCCGGATAGGGCTTTAGATTATGCCTGCAGATAGATTATGTCGAATCTGTCAGATCTTTTATCTTTATAGACATAATGACATGTTGCGAATATGAACTGGTTGGGCTGTGTACGGAGTGCTATCTAAGGAAGGATTGATGAGATGCCGAGCGATCTATACCTAATGCGACGATCTATTGTAGAGTAAAAAGCTATTACCAGACTACTGTACTATGCTGTTGCAAAAGGATACACATAAAGAAGTGATTCAAACGTTTTAGATACACATATTCACCATCCATCCCATATTAGACATTGCGGGAAAGTCTAGGACAGACCAAGAAGAGAGAAGAGAGAAAGAAAATCAACGCCATGCCCATGCGTAACCTTGGAAAAATCCCGTCAATCAAGAACGAAAACAGAAAGCAGCGTCAAATCGTGTGGAAGAAAACACCACGGGACAAGCCCACAGCGTGAGGGTATAAAACAAAACGGGGAGAAGGGGGGGAGGAAAAATCAACAGTGGACAGCGTTTAGAAGTCCTCGTCGAAGTTCAGGCCATCGCTGGCAGAGGTCTGCTCGCCATCGGCGTTGGTCTCCTTCTTGGTGGAGGCCATGACACCGGCCTTTTGGTAGTCACCGACACGCTTCTCGAAGAAGTTGGTCTTGCCAGCCAGGGAGATGGACTCCATGAAGTCGAAGGGGTTGGCAGAGTTGTAGTACTTCTGGTTGCCAAGAGCGAGCAGGAGACGGTCAGCGACGAACTCGATGTACTGGCACATCAGCTTGGCGTTCATGCCGAGCAGACCACAGGGGAGAGCATCAGTCAGGAACTCCTGCTCGATGCCGACGGCCTCAACGATGATGTCCTCGACAACCTTCTTGTCGGGGCGGTTGTTCAGGTGAGAGAACAGGAGGCAGGCGAAGTCAGTGTGGAGACCCTCATCGCGGGAGATCAGCTCGTTGGAGAAGGTCAGACCGGGCATGAGACCACGCTTCTTGAGCCAGAAGATAGAGGCGAAGGAGCCAGAGAAGAAGATACCCTCGACAGCGGCAAAGGCAACCAGACGGGAGGCGAAAGTGCTCTCACGGTCATTAATCCAGCGGATAGCCCAGTCAGCCTTCTTCTTGATGCAGGGAATGGTCTCGATGGCATCGAAGAGGTAGGTGCGCTGCTTGGGCTCTTTGATGTAGGTATCAATGAGGAGGGAGTAGGTCTCGGAGTGGATGTTCTCCATCATGATTTGGAAACCATAGAAGCAGCGAGCCTCAGTGACCTGGACCTCAGCGCTGAAACGCTCGACAAGGTTCTCGTTGACAATGCCGTCAGAGGCAGCGAAGAAAGCAAGAACGTGAGAAACGAAGTAGCGCTCGTCATCGTTCAGGCGGTTGTGCCAGTCGTGGAGATCCTTGGAGAGATCGATCTCCTCAGCAGTCCAGAAAGAGGCCTCGGCCTTCTTGTACATTTGCCAGATCTATAGATAAAGAAGCGTTATCAGCCATGTGTTTCTGTGGCGGGGGTGTGGTGTAAAATGCTTTCACGTCCGAACCACTTTACGCGTGGACGCGTCGGCGACGTGACTTACCTCGTGGTACTTAATGGGGAACATAACGAAGCGGTTGGGGTTCTCCTGCAGGAGGGGCTCAGTGGCCTCAAGCTCCTTCCAGGTAGGAGCAGCCTTGGTAACCTCGAGGGGCTTCTCGGCGATCTTGTCGGTGGCGGCGGCGTCGACAGGCTTGAAGTTCTCCTTGCCGACGGACTCGAAGTCGAGCTTCTTGATAGGAGAGTCGCTCATCTTGAGGTTCTCGAGGGAGGAAGCGGCCTAAGAAAGGACGCGAGTTAGTGAAAATGGTTCTCTGGAGACGCGTCTTGTCGCGAGAGGCGAGAGTCGTGACATCACGTACCTGCTTCGAAGGGGTGAGTTGGGTGGCCATTGAGACTTGTGTGTGAATGTGAATGAAGGTGGAAGATAAAACAGGTGCAAGTCAAACACAGGAATAGTCAAAGTCTGAAGAATGGAGGGGAAGGGAGTGAGGTGCAAGCTGGGAGGGAAAAGATCGGTTAAGTAGTTTGGCGACGTGAATCTTTTAGCGTGACTTAGCCCGTCACGTCGCACGTGACCGCGCGCCGCGCCTTGTCGGGAAGCAAGGCAAGTCGCGTCCACAGGGAAGGAACGATGTGGAATATGGGGCAAATGGACCAAATGGGCCAAAATGGAGCAAAATGGAGCAAACTCACACCACTTCCTTCCCAGCAACTTCCGACGCTAGGGCTAGTCGATCCATGGCCGTGCCTGCCGTAGCCCCCTCGACGCTGCATATGTACATATTACAGAGGTTCGCACCCTGTTCCATTCTTGGAACTGTAGTCCCTAGATTTTATCTGCCAATTGAACCCTCCATTCGAATCGATGGTATCTACTCCGTACACACTACAATATTCAAACAAACAAATCTTTCGGGCATCATAAAGCCAAGACCTCAGGATTCTCGTAAACAACACGGCCCCAGCGACGCGTCTCATCAAATTTTCAGCTCGACGTAATCTGTGGACTCCACCTTGGCTGAATCACGATCAGATAAGCCCAGGCAGGCGATTACCACGCGCTTGACCGACGCGACTCCGGATATACGGGGCTAATTGGCAATCTAGGCCGGCAGAGCTCCATCAACTTAGACCAATGTACGGAGTACGTAGTAAACCAGGATGAAGCTCCTGCTAGCTCCCTGATCACTGGCCAGCCAAATATCCATGTCCCCAGTCAGCCCCTTGAGCTAGTATGTATAATCCGGAGCGATCATCTAAGGGGGATTATTGATGTACATGCTTACGGAGTACAATTATACAATTCAACTCTCCCAATTTCGGCTGTCACTTTAAATGTCAATATGCAAATGCATTGTTAATCCTCCGATCCAGGCCAGATCCCAAGCTCTAGAAGGAATGAAGGAGCCTTCACCCAATACAGCAACTTTGTGGAGTGGAGTCGATAAAATCTCGCGCGTTGGAGAATGTGCCGATCTGCTCAGCTCGCGTGGAGCTGGGGCGCGTACATACGGAGTACCTGAAGCTCCATTGCTTGCTGGGGAAACAACATTGACAAGGGTTTCAGCCTAACTCTGCACCAATCCGTGTTTGATCCCTTCCGCCTCGGCGTGAACGCGTCTCCACCTGCCAACGCGATGCTCTAGCAACCCTGCATATGCGGTGAACTTTCCGTCTGCATTGACCATCTTTCGCGCCTCAAACAGTGGCAATTCAGCTTTTTGATTTGGCGGATCTCGGCCGCCTCCTTCCCTCGGAACTTGCCCTTCCGTTCTGGCGTATTTTTATTATTTGAATTGGATTGCCGACGCGCGGAGCTGCACGCGACTTGGCCTCTGGATTTCGTGACCCTGCCCAGTATCCATATAGCTTGGCAACTAGCTCCGATTTTCCTTGATTTTTCAAACGGCAACTATTTTAGTCCGCAGTAGTCCTCCAATTGCAAACGCGGGGTGCAAATCCTTTCAAACCTTGGAACATGACGCGTTTTGGCTCCAAGAGCAGAGAGCCGTGATATTGGCGTGAGTCGCTGGCATTTGCGCCCAAATCACAAATTCGTCTACTCTGTTCCTTCTGTGTACGAATTGAATCTCAATCAATCTTCTGCGTAAAGAATAGGGTGGAATTTTGGATTTTTATCCTAATTTTACTACTAGTACAGTTGCAAAGCATGTATGAGGTGAGATTCTCACAGCATAATAGGTAATATACTACTAGTAGAGAGAGCCCTGCTCCCTCTCTTTCGCAATATCATCCCCGAAGCAATCAATGCCAGCCACGGCGAGCCATTTTAGGGCTATTTTGAAGTGCGGCATTGGGGACGTAAAGTGGCATCGAGTCCTCCCAGAGAGAGTCCGTCAATACTTGCTTGTTTGAACCATCCGCATCCATGACTACCACCTGACCATATGGCTGGAAAGTCTGATCGTATAGAGCGCACTCATACTGGAAACCAAACATGCCGGTGGAATACGCGATGCGGCCGTCGTGTGTCCATACTGCATGAGCATCGTTTGCACCGCTACTAGTCAGAACCTTGATGTCGGTGCCATCGGACCGCATAGTGCAAACATCATAGTTGGTATCGCTGACTTTGCGGGTGAACACAATGCGCTCGCCATCGGGAGAAAGAAAGGCAGGTTGTCCCATTCCGTAGTTAGGACGGAGATCTTTCGCGTCTCTAGATCCAGCATGCGTAGACCGAGCTGCGACTTGTCACCCTGGGTGGAGTTACAACCCCACACCCGGAAGATGATCTTCTTGCCGTCATGCGAGAAACTGGGGAAACCCGAGTTTATAATGCTGCTGTTCGCACTGAGGGTGGTGATGCTTTCGGTAAGAACTTCATAGTACGACCCATTGGCGGTAGCGCGCACCAACCAGCCACCACTCTCAGCGCGAGTTTGGAACCAGAAGCCAACGCCAAAGGTAAGCCATTTCCCATCGGGTGACCATGAAGGCTGGAAGGCTCCAGCCAGACCTTGTGAGACTTCTGCTGTCTCGAGGAAATCAGTCGTCATGTCATTAAAGACTAGGTGCTCGTTGGTTCCGTTGGCATTCATTGACACGATGGAGGAGTTTCCGAGTTGCTTTTCAGTCATGGCAAACATGTTCTGATTGGATAATTGAGGGAAAACATCTGTGAAGCGGTATTCCCATTCTGGATCCCAGCTGTACAGCTTCTTGTCCATGGGGCGGATGTCCCATTCAGTCTTTTCATAGATAACCTTATTTCCATCGGGGGACCATGACGGAGAACGCACTGTGGCGCTGGAAGTGTTGAAGAAGCTACCATCAGTAGTGTAAAGCCCCTCCTTGCCGGTAGCTTTGGTGAAGTAGGCAATATTGTCACTGGAAAGGTATTGAGGAAAGATCTTGACACCGGCTCCCTGTACTTCAACACGACGAGACCCGGTCTCAAAGTCCACGGAAATAATTGTCGAATTGGCCGAGTCGATTGATTCGGGACGATGGGAGTTCCAAGTGTTCTCTCGTGTCATTTCATAGAAAAGAGTTCGTTTGCCATCAGGCGACCACTTGGGTGAGCCCTGGGACCAACCACTCCTGGAGGCGACTTGTCGGAAATCAGAGCCGTTGGGTCGGATGGCATAGATCGAGAGTTCTTGAGTATGTTCCCAGCCGCTCACGCCCATGAAGACGGGATCACCGTGTCCATACCAACCCGAGTTCCGATCCGAGGAGAAAGCAATCCATTCGCCGTCTGGTGACTAAGAAGGACGGAAATACCCATCTGGTAAAGAAGCATTGGCCGTAGTCGAAGCAGTACCGGTGAGGTTCCATTTCTTGCCACTATAGATTTCCATTACCCAGATATTGGCCTTGTATCCATTCGCCGTTGATACATAAGCAACGTGTTTTCCGTTCGGCGACATGACAACTGAGTCTTCGATTGAAGAGGTTGCGACCAGTTCTTCGAGATCAGAGCCATTGGTTCGAACCCGATAAATATCCGAATTTCCGTCTCCGTTGCGCTCGCCGGTGAAAGTAACCCATTCTCCATCCGGGGAGAAATCGGCGTGATATTCGAAGACGGGATTGGAGAGAAGGGGGCGTTCATTCGTGCTATCGATGTTTGAAATGTATAGCTCAGATGTTCCCGGCGCAATGCGGTTCATATAGAAAATGCCCTTTTTCTCCGATGTGGGTATATCGCGGGCTACATGAGGATGCGGCGGAGGTGCTTGTCTCTTGTCGATACCCAACTGTGCAGCATATGGGCACAGAGCCAAAGCCGGCGTCAAAGTGAAGCCCAGTAGGGCGGAGGCCCCGTAAATAAGACGCATGGCGGGCAGGGCTTAGGCAAAAGAGGACGCTGAAACTCGACGTCAAGGCCAAGGGCTCGCCTTGAGCGGCACCAAGCATGTCTTATACCGAAGATTATTGCTCGTTCTAGAAAATCTTTATCCGACATGACCGATCATTTCTCCTTCCGGTTGGTGACAGTTAATTTCCATTCTGCAAAAGAGAGGATTTTGCTCTAACATGCAACACACTTTGCCCACCCTAGCATCTCAGGCCGAGAAAGTAGAAATGTTTCGGAGACTTGGCAAGTGCCAAGAGCCAAGACTTTTTATCTCATCTGATCGAGGACATGGGGATGGAGCAATTCTTAAAAGCGTGGCTTTATATGGCCGTGCCAAGCTGGTAGAACATTGATCTTCAGTGAAGTGGCCGATTGGGGCAGATTCGACCGTAAGCGAATGTTCGGAGTCGGGTATAATGAGCCAAGACCTCTTAACGTGGGACAGGCCGTTATGAAACATTTCTTCAGGCCTGTGCCTTGCATAAATCAAGTCTTGATTGAATCGTAACTACGCGAGTATTTGAGGTTACATCGAATGAGGTTTCTTCGATATGAAATCGGTAGAGGTATTGGATGACCTTCCAAAGGTTGCAAAATGGACGGCTATGAGGCATGAGGTTTCAATCCTATAACCAGGTTACCTTAGGGCACATCTGATGAATTATCTTACCTGATGCTTGCGGGGCCACGGAGCGGAAATTGACAGCTCTTGAATGGCCTCATTGGCTTCCTTCTCGATGGGGTTGAGTGAAACTCCATCGTTTGGCCTGGCCATTTTACCCAAGGAGGTTCTTGAAAATAGACAAAACTAAGCAGCTTGGAGCAAAAGCAGTAGGTTTTGTAGTTGATACGATCAGCTCTGGTGTCGAAGACTAACAGATAGATCGATCTCGAGAATGGTCTTGCCATAAGAATCTGACTAGTATATCATTCTCAGCCTGATAGCTCTTCCCACTAAAAGGCATCCTATGTCTTGCAAGACATACACGATTTCAAGATGATACCAGCGACAGAACATAGAATATCGGCTTGATAAGAATTGCCAGACTAGTAGGCATTGGAGCCACTCGGCCGGGTTTCTACCGAGATAGAGCTTGAATGAAAGACTCCTATGGCGAGACTCACGACACTACAATGAAACCATATTCAGAAACCTCCGTATGTATGATATGAAGACTGTATTAACATCAACGATATGTCTCCCTATATACAGATGTAATCTTCGGCTGAACAAATCCCAAAAAGACAAACGCCCAACTCTATGGTCAAACCCGGTATCACAAAAGGCCTGACGCCGCAACTGAATGCTAGGCGGCATATCTAGAAAGACATGATGGCAATGCTGCGAAGATTCTAGACAAAATGAGACGAAAATTTATATAGTGAACCCATCCAAACACTCTATTCCTTAGATTTTATCGCGAAGGGAATCAGAGAGGAATCGGTCCTCGACCCGACGCATCAGCTTGTTTGTCTGCTCAGCCAGACTCAAAGTGATGATCTGGAAATTAAAGTCAGCGTTTCCATATTAAGGTGTGTTAAAGTGTGTGTGAAAACTTACAGTATGGGGCAAGATACGGGCCAAATGGGCGAAGAATCCCTTGTAAATTGCCAACACGCCCTCTGTGCGGATGGTCTTGTACAGACAGTCAAACACACCCTGGTATAGGTTACCAGTCTGGTTGTACATGCGAGCCATGATGGTGTCTAAAGGATGATGCGTCAGTCAGTCAACTTCGCCTCCAATTAATTAGTGATACATACCAGGCGGGTGCATGACGCAGCAGACAACGAAACCGGATGCCGCGCTACTGGCTAGATGAAGGGCGGGCCCCTCTTCAATACCCAAATGCCTGTTGAGGCGACGCTTGGCAAAGAAGTATGTGGGAAGCTGAACCGAACTACCAAAGCTCGTACGGATCATCGCAGCGCCGACACCGCGATAAATACCCTTGATACCCTCGCCGCGGTAGATCTTGCTGAGGCCGTCGATAGAGTTCTTATAGTTATGCTGTGTACCGACGGGAAGGAAAGGCGAATAAGACTGGAGACGGGTCTTCACTAAGAAGAATGGTGAGCCGGCAGCAGCACCGATGACACCGGAGGCAGCGCCGGCAAAGACGTTGGCACCGAGTGACTGGACTGTGGGGTCGTTGTAGAAAACAGAGGTGACGTTGGAACGAATGGGCTCGTAGAATCCCAGACGGCAGCCGTTGAGCAAGACCTGGTAGACGTACTACAAGTTCACTTTGAATCAGCATGATCCCGGGCAGATATTCGATTTTATGCTCTTGGGGCGACATACCGCAGATCCGATACCCCGGAACAGACCCTTGGGGCCCTCATTTTGCAAGATAGTCTTGATCCCATGCAAGACGCCATTGTACTTCTTCGCCGCATCGCCCTTCGCCTGCAGTTCACCTTGCAATTGTAGTCTGCCATGGAGTTAGTGTCATGCGACACACCAATGCGCCTAAATTCCGTGCTTACCGGATCTTGACGGTCTCGAAACTGTGGGTGACGGTCACAGCACCGCATGCTGCAATACCTCCGGCAAGGAATGAGCTATTCGAACGAGAGAATGGTTAGCAAAGGCATTCACTTCTAGTATATAAATGTTTGTGCATCAAGGCTCATACCCGATTGTGGTAGACATTGCGACTGGTTTGGAACGTTCACGGCGGCACTTGATGATGGAGTTTGTTGGAGATCGGAGGGAGATCGGAGTGGAGTGGAGTGGAGTGGCGACAATGCCAGGGGACGAGGCGGTCCCTCGAGGTCAAAAAGAGGCCAAATGAAGGGAATGCCCGTGGTGGTCAAGAGCGGATGGCTTCGTAAAATCTCGAGAGTGATGATGTTAATTGTTCTGCAAGTCGTCAGTAAGGTGATCGGGGCCCGAGGGCGGCAATGACCGACTAAAAGCTTACATACGGCTAATGCTGGCCGAATCTGACAGAATCCCACGGGCGGTGATTGGTCAATATGGGGGGACTCATCGGGGTCAGCTCCGGTACTCGGGGGCGGTGAACCGGAGCATAGTTCATCCGGAACAAGCGCGAGAAAAAAGGGAAGGCGCGTGGGGGAGCTGATTCCCCGAAAGAGGAAGGGACGAGGGTGATTGTGATTGTGCTTGCGCTTGCGATTGCCATTGCCATTTGGACTGACGGGCGCTTCCCTCAAAATCGTTTGCTTTCCTCAATATCCTTTACTTTGCCTCACTTTGCCTCACTTTGCCTCACTTCTCATAAGACTTCTTTCTTCTTACTTTTCCACATTCCCATATTCGCACTCTCTCACCCTCTCACACTCGCCATGGCAGACAGCCAGCAGCACACCCCAGTGCCCCAGACCTCCACGGGAGCTGCCCCCCAATTTCAGAAGCTTCCAGACATCATTCGTAGCCACAGACCTTGCAAGGTGAGCTTGAATTTACTCAGTCCATATCTTCATCGGCCACCAGACTAACTCTCACCTCCAGTGCTTCCGGAACTCGAAGTCAGAATCCTCCAATTTCGTGACGTCTTTAGACTTTAACGACCAGGGTGAGCATATGGTCGCCGCCTGCGATGACGAAACCATTCAGATATTCGACGTGAAGGAAGGAAAATCCACCAAAACGGTTCCTAGCAAGAAATACGGTGTTCATTTAGCCAGATTCACTCATCATCCTCGCCAAGTTTTACATGCGAGTACCAAGGTCGACCGTACGTTTCTGATAGAAATCCGACAAGCCATTTCAAAACCATGTGGTCGCTGACAACGAGGTAGACTCATTACGATTGCTCGACCTGCACAACGAAGGGTACATTCGCTATTTCTCCGGACATACAGACAAAGTGACTTGTCTAGCCATGTCCCCAGGCAGTGATTCCTTCATCTCTTGTTCCAAGGATGATACTGTGACTCTCTGGGATATTGGATCGCGCAACCCCCAGGGAAAGCTTAAGCTCGCGACTCCATACCTCGTGGCATTCGACCCGTCTGCCTCCGTCATCGCAATCGCCTCACAATCCACTTCATCCGTCCTTCTCTATGATTTCCGCAATTTCGATAAGCCTCCATTCGCCACATTTGACCTCGCTCCCTATGAGGAGACCTACACCCCCTCAACTAGAGGTCGTGCCTGGACTCGGCTAGAGTTCTCCAACGATGGAAAATACTTGATGGTCGGCACAGATTATCACGGGCACTTCGTGCTAGATGCATTTGACGGTTCTATCAAGGCATTTCTGACGGGCAAGGGCGGCTCGCCGGGTCGTGCTGCCCCAATTTCCGCAACTGCAAAGCCATTAGGGCAAGGTGACGCATGCTTCACTCCGGATGGCCGATACGTCCTTGGCGGCAATGGAGACCAGCAAGATGTACTTGTCTGGGACTTGCAGCAGGAGCGAGAATCTAATGGCATGCTTTTCCCTATGGTCAAACTGCCCCACCGAAACAGAACAGCCCTCATCGAACATAACCCACGCTACAACATGATTGCTACCGCTGATAAGGAGACTTTCTTCTGGCAGCCAGATGAACCCGCTAAACCGTCAGAGAAGTAAAACATGATGGGCCAGCTCAATTAATAAGAGGGTCTTTGATTTCAGTCATGATAGTGAAAGTGATCTATGATTCCAAAATCTAACCATATCCATCCATCTGTTTCGTGCACATACCCAACCAACATTTAGCACCCCGTTGAGTATCTCCAAGCTATGATTTGCGGCCTTTATCTTTCCCCACCAAACTGCGAGCAGTATCGCAAATCCAAACCTGGGGCCCTTCGACAGCATCCCCATCCACCTGCCTGCTATTCTCAATCGTGACCTCGATCTGTTTATCGATCGTCCGATTACTAGAAATTGTTGTCAGGCTAGTTGCCCATCCATACATGAACACGCTATGGTTGATATCCGACAAGACTTGCGCGACTTCGTCGGCTACTGGGGGGAGTTTTCCCTCAGCTTTTGCTGCCTCGATCGCTGGCTCTGCATC